TGCTCTTCGCGCCCCGTGTCCGCAGCCCACGTCCCCAGCCTGTGGCTGCCGGCTTGGGCACTCCTGGATTCCCCCTGCTCTGTGGAAAGGGAACAAGCAGCCGGGAAACTTCCCACAATCTGGAAGCTTTGGAGGGGGGTTAATTGTCATTGATTTATTGGTGGCTTTAAGGAAAATAATCTGCTAATGCAGAGGCTTAATATGACAACAGAAAAACATCTGCTAGCGAACAAAGCCAAACCCTAAATGAGTTGTGAAAACTGCTGCCTCTTCTAGGGCGGGCGCTGAACCTGGGCTGTCCTGGCTGCGGCCACCAAAATGGCATCATCATCTGATGTACTCCAGAGCCCCTCGTTAGCTAGAGAAGCATTTAAGATGATTGGTATTGTTTTAAAATAGCATAAAGCTCAGTGCAATGCTGTATTTCGTTTTTAAAAGGAGCGGCCTGTTAGGTAACCAAAGCACCCGGGAGGAGTACAGCGCCGGTTGGGTTTTATTCTTTTTATCAGTGGCCCGTAGCAAACCAGCTGTGACAAACAAACAATGCAGCTGCTGGTGGCAGGGAATTAATTTTCTCCTCCATCCCCTGTCCTTTTGCTTTGTTTTTCTTTTTTTTTTTTTTTTTTTTTTTTTTACGTTGGTTATAACACTGAGAAAATTCAGTCCTGGCAAATGGGACCTGGGAGAGAAGCCTGGTGTTGGTCTGTATTTGTGAAAGGCAGCGGCTGCCCGTGAGCCAGCCTGCAGAGGGGCTGGGGATGCGCAGAAGGACTGGGGACGTGGAGAAGGATCGGGGACACGCAGAGGGAAATGGGGGATGCTGTGTTTGTTTGCATCAATTACAGAGGATGCACTGTCACCCCAAACTGGGTTTTGGGGGAGGTGAGGGGAGCATTTCCAGGTTCCCTGTGAGTCAGGACCCAACAGACCCGTTTCTCTGCTGGGTCTGCAGCGTTGCACGTGAATTCGGGTGCATAGCCCCACGCATGCACCGGGTGGCTTTTGGGAAGAGCTGCTGTGCTAGAGCGTAAGCGGAGCCTCACAGCACCCTGAACGCCGGGGAAGGGCCGGGGCTTTGCTCCGCTCAGGACTGGGCTGCGCGAGCACGAGATGAGCTTTTCCCAAGGAGTTACGTGTCGGTGGCTGCAGCGTCCTGCGCGCCATGCAGGGAGGGGCAGTTCCTATCCGAAAACAAAGCCAGTGAGCCCCTCTGCTGCCGCAGCGCCCGGACAAAGGTCTCCTTCATTTGTCGGCTCGCCTTTGCTCTGGATCTTTTCCCAGCTGGATGTGTGGGGAGGTGCGGCAGGTTTCGGGAGCCCTCCCCGGGGAGGGATGGTGAGGGATGTTTCCTCTCTCGCTGTGGGAGGGGCGATGGTCCCTTTGGCCGAGGAAGTCCTGACCCATCCCCGCCGCCGCGCTGCCCTGGGGCAGGGTTTCCACCTGCGAGCTTGTCCCCTTGGGAAGGAACGTGGTAGTGGCACATGGCTGAGCAGCCCCGTCCCCGTCACATCACGGCACGCGTTGTGGGCAGCACCCAAGCCGTGTGGGACCCACACCTCCGGGGACAGCCTGATGGGGACCCTGGGTGCGGTGCTGTGGGACAGACCCCTCTAACCCCGCTGTCTCCCCCATTCTCTTTAGGAACCTGGTCCTGCTAAGATGGCCGTGACCAGCAGCAACATCCCCAGCGCGGAGAAGGTCCCTGCCACCAAGTCCACGCTTTGGCAGGAAGAAATGAGGGGCAAAGACCAAGTGGATGGGGGCAGTAGCATCAGCCCGGTGCAGAGCCCGGTGCAAGGCCAGGCCGGGGCTGCCAGCTCCCTGAAGGATCCCGTGCTGGACAGCAAGGAAGGTGAGGAATGGGGGTGCCAGCACTGGTGTGACGCTGCGGTGACCCGGTTCGGGCAGCTGAGCTGGCAAATAAAACACCGTACAGGAAAAAGTGCAGGTTCGGTTCCCGGAGCGGAGCCGGTGCAGAGCCCGGTGCAAGGCCAGGCCGGGGCTGCCAGCTCCCTGAAGGATCCCGTGCTGGACAGCAAGGAAGGTGAGGAATGGGGGTGCCAGCACTGGTGTGACGCTGCGGTGACCCGGTTCGGGCAGCTGAGCTGGCAAATAAAACACCGTACAGGAAAAAGTTTTCCGCAGGTTCGGCGGTTCCAGCATCCCAGTGAGGAGGGGGGCCAGCCTCTGTCCCTGCTGTGTCGTGCGGGGACCTGAGTGAGACCTTACGGGCTGGAGTTCAGGAAGGAAAAAATGTGCATCGCATCAGGGAAGACCACACAAGCGTGGGGCCCAATCCTGCCCTGGCCGGGAGACAGGGCTGCCTGGCCTCACAGGCGGTGTTGCCCTTGTGCAGGGGGAAAAACGAGGGGGAAAATGCCTTTTCTAGCCCCTCCGCATCCCCACCCTGGGGCACTCGGAGGACGGAGGGCCACGCTGTGCTCAACCTGGCTGTTGGGGCTGCCAAGCCCTGAGCACTGCTTCCTCCTCCAGCCCCTGTGTCAGGGCCCTGTTTACATTTGGTCTCCCCGATGAGTCCCTGGAAGGCGCCGGGGCCACGGCATTGTTCTCCCTGGAACAATAGGGGCTGGGGACTCTTCCTGCCAGGGCCGTGGACAGGTCCCACACGCTGCGGCCATTTCCTTTATCTGCCCGCTCGGATGGGGGATGCTTTCCGCCTGCTCCCCGCTGCCAGGAGCGAGGTGTCCATCGCCTTGCACCTGCAGAGCTGTGGTCGATGCCGGGCGGGGAAGGACAGGGATGGAAATGGGTGCGGAGTGGTCACCGCGGCCGTCCATTTCTTGGTTTGAAGGTTTAGGTTTTTCAACTGGGCAAGCCTGACCCAAGGGTTGGACCAGCTCCCTGCAGACTGTCCCACCATCTCCATGGGCATGACGGATTGTCAGGGTGGAAAAGCCAAGGGTGCAAGAGGTGGCACAGCACGTGGCTGGGGCCCAGGTGTCTCTGCTCTCGTTTCCTGCTCCCATCCTGGGTGGAATCAGGGCATTTTTTGTTAAAAACAGAACTTAGACTTGAAAGCAAGCGTGGTGACTTTTCTGTCCCTTAGACGAGAGCTCCATGAACGGAGACCGGATAGACTGTGGGCGGAAGACGCGTGTCGAGAGCGGGTACTTTTCCTTGGAGAAGACCAAGCAAGACTCGAAGCTGGAAGAGCAGCAGCTGCCACCCCCGCCGAGCCCACCCAGCCCCAGCATCCCGAACAACAGGTACAGTTATCCCAAATCGCCCTCGCAGGAGCATGCCCAGCCCTTTCCTTCCCCAGGTACCCGATCAGGCGACCGAATGATTCACAGCTTCTCTCTGAACTCCTTGGACTCGAAGAGCAGTTGCCCCATGCACAAGGACTCCAGCAGCAGAGATGTAGGAAGGGGAGCTGAAAAATCGGGGCGTCCCCTTTCTTTTAAAGCCAGCCGGCAGTACACCACCCTGGCCGACGTTCCCAAGGCCATTAGGATCAGTAATCGTGAGGCCTTCCAGGTGGAGAGGAAGCGGCTAGAGCGGAGAACCCGGGCCCGTAGCCCTGGGAGAGAAGAAGTGGCCCGGCTCTTTGGCAATGAGAGAAGGTAAGGGATGAGTGGCTAATCTCCTCCTTGCATGCTTGCAACGGCAGCGAGGCTGCGTCCCCGCCGCAGCCCTGGACGGAGCAGGCGGTATTTGCCGGGTGAAGCCCCTTTGTATTGCAGTGCTCTTGGGTTTAAGGATGCCCACCCACACCGACCAGGCGGTGGGATGTCCTTAGTAGTGCCAGCGGGCAGGTGTCACCCCGCCTGGCTGCTCTGGGGACAGCTGACTGAGGTGGGTGATGTTCAGTGGCCGTATTTGCAAGCAAGGCCACCCTCCCCATCCCCTCCCTGGTACGGCACACGCTGGCAGCTGGCACCATTAATTAGGTTAGCTCTCTAAATGGTGTTAGTGCTGGGTGCGTTACGCAACTGCCTAATGAGCTGAGAGAGGTTTCAAAATGTCACGGCATTAATCTGGGAGAGGAGGCGGGTGCAGTGCCGAGGCAGGGTGCAGCGGTCTGCAAAACAGCTTAGTGCGGAGGAGGACAGGGAGGGCGTCCGCACACACGCCTGCACCGTGCACCAGCGTGCTTGGTGCTCTCTGGGCGAGGCGAAGGATGGGCTCGACTTGCCCTGGGAGAGACGCATTTGTGCGGTGAGGGCAGCAGAGCAAACCGGGAGACAGGCCCCGGGCGAGAGGGCCGCCTGCCAGTCTGATTTTCTTGCCTTGGTTTTCCTCCGGGCATGTTCTCTCTCGCACGGTTTCAGCAGGCGCTTCTCCTGTGTTTTTTCCCAGCCCCTAAAGGACTGTTTTCCAGCCTGGCTTCCTCATGCCAAGAGCTGGGAGCGGGTCTGGGGAGGGCGGCACAGCTTTGTGCCGGTGCCACCGGTTGGCAGGAGGATACCAAACCCAGCCCAGCCTCAGCAGCGTGCACAGCGAGTGCTAGGCTGGGGATAAAGGAGAAGAGCGTGGATTTGGTTTTCTCTGCCCCAGGAATTGGGTGGGAGGAGAGGGATGCCACGCAGGTCCCCTGACCACCCTGGCTGGGGACAAGGCTGAGGAAAGGCTGGGGACTGCTGGTTTGCAGGCTGAACCGGTGCAGCGTGCTGGCCCAGGTGTGGGTGAGATCGTGTCCCCGCTGGGTTTGCTTGCACAGGACGCTCTGGCCAGCGCCTGCCCCAGTGTGAGAGGATGGCGTGTTCCTCCGGTGCCGACAGTCCCTTGCTCCAGCCCCGGGGGTATCGTGCAGCACTGCGATCCAGCACCGAGCTAGGATGTGCCAGCCGAGGATGGGGAGGAGCAGATTTACAGGCAGATAATGGGGCCCGGGAGAGGATACTGCTGCCAGAGACTGTCCTTTTTTAATGTCAGCCCCACTCATTGCCTGCTGACGGGTGCCTTTTCCCAGGGCAAGTCTGTTTTTCCCAGCCCAGCTGGGCTCCTGGAGCTGTTAACAGGTTTTTATTGCTTTATCAGTATTGGCAAAAATTCCCCTATGTCAGCTCAGGGCCTTTATCAGAACAGGACGGGTGTAGGGAGAGGAGCGGGCGCTGCACCAGGCACAGAGGTCTTGCTGCCCGTGGGGCTGAGCCCAGTCCAGCGTTTGGGAGGGGGGTGATGGCAGAGAGCAGGGCAAGGGGTCCCTACCTGCCAGAGGGTTTGGCCGGGGATCGCAGCTGGAGGGAGCGTGCCGTGAGCAGGGACGGCTCAGCGGGCGGCGTTTAGGGACGGGCACGTTCGCTTTCTCCGCTGGTAACCTCGGAATTGCCCTGTGCAGGTGGCTTGGGTGGAGAGGCCGTGTGTCCCGGAGCTTGGGTGGACTCGGCAGGGCATGGAGAGGCAGTCCAGCGTTGCACCAGAGAATTAACATTCGCCAGCACCCTGCTCGGCTTGGCTTGGCTGCTTTTTAAATTTGAGTTCACTTAGTCCATGTATCCCTCTCATTTTTCTCCTCCGAGCTCAGGCTGTGCTGTTTGAGGTTGAGCAAATACAATAACTCACTTCCATGCTGTGGGGTCAGGTTTTTCCCCCGGGCTTAACACCATTTCTAATAATCCTTCTCAGTAACCCACTAACACCTCCGGGAACGCTTGCCTGAAATCACTTGCCTACATGCCAACCCCATAGGTGCCAGCCGAGCATCGTTCAGTTTGGCCTTTCATCTCTCAGTGCGGCCAGACGAACTTGCTCTGATTCTGTTGGTGTTTTCGGCTCTGCCTCCCGTTTTCCATTTATCCACCGTAAATCAGTGTGTGTCAGAGCTATGATGGAAAAGAATTATTTTAGGTACCCAGTGCTGCATCCTGAGTAACACACCTGTTGGCTTAGCTCCAGATAAAGCTGTTTTTCAGGCTTCTTGTCCTGTTTCCTTATAGGAAGAAATATTACATGACTTAATGTCCAGGACCGTGCTGGAAATTTTCCATGTTGACCATTTATACCTGACGCTGACTCCACGCCCCATGCAGACGTCTGAGCTCACAGCCACTCAGAAACATGAATCAGAAAACAGGAGATAATCTCCATGATTTTGGCGCATGTGGCAGAGCAGCAGAGTGCGAGTTCCCTCTGCTGGCACGCGGCAGGACGGGGCTGCCGGCACCGCGCTGCCGGCACTGTGCAGGGAGGCCCGACCGGGCCAGGGGAGAGGGTCTGTGTCCAGAGAGGTCGAGCCGTGCCTCTGGTCTCCCCTCTCAGACCCATCCCTAGGGCAAAAGGGCAGGGGCAGCTCTTTGGAAAGCCCATGGATAAATCTTGAAGCCTATTTTGCACACAAAATCACAGCTGAGAGGGCTGGAGGGACAACCTTGGATGCTGGTCCCCATATCCCAGCGGAGCTCTGCAGCTGCGGGGATAAATCCTGGCACATCTCAGGAAGGTGTCAGCAGCTTTGGGAAGGGGACCACCATCGGGTGGGGAGTCCTTGGGGTGCAGAGACCCGGAGCCCCTTCCTCCGGGTGTGTGGCTGCAGGCTAACCCACCTTCTGCAGGTCCCCGGGGAGCACTGGGATTTCTGGTTGGCAAACTTGGCTTTTCTTGCACACTTCCAGGGATGCAGCCTCTAAAACCATGGCTTTCCCGGTTGACCCCACGTTCTGCTCACGCTGGCAAGAGTCCGCTGTGGTGTCTGCTGGATCTGCTGTAGGAGCGTGGTCAGGGGGCTGAGGCGTATTTCTAGCCTTGATAAATAGCTGAGCTGCCTGAAATCACTTAAAAGACTTTTCTTTCTCAAATTCCTTCTTTGGAGCTTCTTGAGATGTAAGGCTCTGCTCTGAATGCTACTTCTACCTGTAGAGAGGAGCGCCTGCTCTCCCAAGTATAGTTGTTTTTTTCTTGTAAAACTATCCTCTTCATTTTTGTGGACCTTTTGGGGAAATTACTCTTCCTTTTCCTGACATTCACTGTCTTTCTTGCTGCTAAATAATGATGAATCCAATAAAAAGAAGCCCTTTCTTCCAATCAAAGAAAATCACTTTAATGATAGCTCGTGCTGGCTTTATTGCTTTCCTTCCCACCGCACACACCCCTCCACCTAAACAGCCGAGATCTGCAGCTCAGGTTTAGTGGCCTGGAAAAGACTAACAGCCTGCATGGCTGAGGAACTCCTTGGGACGAGCTTTGTAGTTGAGAAAGCACTAAATGGCACCGCAGCTTTTAAAACGCTTCTTCGTACCCGTCCACAGCCTTGTTTTGTCAACACAGAGCTGCTGTTCAGAGGGAGCGGCTCTGTCCTCGGCGTGGTGGGGAGGAGAGGAGAGCCCTTCCCCTCCCCGTCCCCCCAGGATCTCTAGCAGTAACCTCTCTGAAATGTTGAGCTAATGGGAAAAAAATGATTCTTTCCTGTAATCTGGATGATATTAACCCTTGGGGCTGTGATTTGGTTGCAGTGATTTATTTTTCTCCTTCCTTTTTCAATGACGAATTACTGGAATGACTTTGATTTTGTTTTGTATGTAGATGCAGATATATAATTTCCTCTTCTGTTCATTCATTTTCCAGCCTTGTTTTCTTCCAGGTCTTGTTGCTCTCCACCTTCTCCTGCTGTGTTGCTGTGTGACGTGTCCGCCTTTACTTCGCCTGCTTCGCTACCATCTCATCTCAATCTCAAGCCGTAGAACAACCTGGTGGTGCAGCCCCTTTCATGAGAAATCAACCTGCTTTTGATTTTGTTTTATGTTTTTTGGTTGGGTTTTTTTTCCTCCCGATTTGTTTTTCTTCAGGCCTTCACATGTTAGGGCACAGACAATGTTAATTCATGGACCTCTTACTCCCTCCTAGACTGAGACTCAGAGAAGGCTGGGCCCGCGTAAAAAGGGTTAAAAAATTGTGACTCCAAACCAGTTCCCTGTCTGTCAGTGAATGGAGGACGTGGATTTATGCTCCGCAGGCTGGCTTATGTGAACGGACATCTCGTGAGCAGAACATCCCAGGGGGATTGGGAGCTCTGCGCGAGCCCGGGATCGGCCCGCTCCCGGTCTGCAAACTGGGAGGCAGCAGGGGCTGAACAGATGTCCCGTAAAAACATCAGAGACGTTTGAATTTACAAAGCAAAGTCTTCCCCACCGATTTTGTCCCTTCCTCTTTGGTTGTGGGCTTCAGCACCCGGTCCTGGCAGCCTGGCTCTGAGCAGCAGCGGGGGGCCCCCAGCCCGCCGGGGGATGTGATGTGCTCAGACTGTTCGTCTCATTTATGGAATTTGGTGCAAATGTTGGTTGAAAACTGAATATCTCACGTTTCTTGAGTCCTTAACCTGCTGTTCCTTTTTGTGGGAAGTGTTAAAAATGGTTTTTTGGATAACCTGTTTCCCCTCATGTGGTTGCCATTGTGATTTTCATGCACATTAGAGGTTCACACGGAGCAAGCAGCCCCGAGTTCAGGTGCGGCACGCGTGGGTCCAAATTTTGTGTCAAGAACCCACCCGGATTGAGTTTTTTGGGGAGGTTCGAAATTGAGCTTTAAACCTCGGAGCTCAGCTGGCGTTGTGTGTTGGTGGTGGGTTATTGCTTCACGTTCCCAGGTTGTGATTAAAGACCTGAGGTTGATACTTGCCTGAACCCCCGGGCATGCAAACTTAGACATCAGCAGGTCCTTTGAAAATTCCAGTATTTCCTCTCCTGTGGGTCAGCGAGCAGCTTTTCATGCTGAAACGGCGCTTTTAATTCCACCTGCAAAGGCCTGTTGTTTGCTTGTTTTTAGGAGCATCCCATTTGGGTTTGGTCCGGGGTTGGCTCCTGTTCCATCCACATTTCTTCATAGTTCTCCTCCGTCCTCGGAGACACGTGTGCCACGGTGTGATGGGCCACCGGGGCGGTCTCTGAGAGCCCAAGTTGTGCTCCCTGCTGTCCATACCGGATTTGCAGACCAGGTCGGGAGGAGGGTAGAGCCCCGGGGTTTCGCAGGGGATGCCCTGCTGTGCCTGCACAGGGTGCTCCTCATCTCCTCATGCCTCTTCAGCTGGCGCACCCTGCGAGCCAGACCCGTTGTCTGGAGGCACCTACGGGCACTCCGCACTCAGTGCAGTCCTGTGGACGTTACCCGTGTGGGGCTGAGTTTTTACAGGGTATCTATTGCAGTGAACACGCGGGGTGACCCGTAGGTACCCGTTACCTCTGCGCCCCGGCTTGGTCTGATGTGTCTCTGCTCTGTGGCCTGGGGGGCCGTCGATAGCTGCAGTGCTAGAGAGTAAAGACAAAGTTTAAGCCAAAGCTGCTCAATAATCACTGCTTCTCAAAGGGCTGTAAAATTCACAAGTAAAAAGTTACTGCTTGTTTTGTGAGGGTTTTCTAGATATTTAAGAAGATACTATTTGTGGAGCTGAGTAGCGTGAGGTTTTTTCCCATTTTGGCTGCAGGTAAAATGGTGCATGTCAGATCGGGGTGTTTTGCCCTGGACTTGTGCACGCTAGAGCTTGCAGAGAAACAGGGACCAAAAGCCAGGTGTGCATGAACACTGGGTCGAGCAATTCTGCAGCCTTACATTTGTGGGATTGTACAGCTCAGCACAGTTGCTGTTCTTGTGTTTAAACCGGCTTTGGTTTCCCCTTTCTCTCTGTTTTCCAGGCGATCCCAGGTAATTGAAAAATTTGAGGCATTAGATATTGAGAACGCGGAGCACATGGAAACGAACGTGTCGGCCGGTGCTGCCCTTTCCAGTGAGACGCGGCAGGGCAGGAGCGAGAAGAGGGTTTTCCCACGGAAACGGGTAAGCTGCTCAGCTGAGGTCTCATGGTGGGGTTTGGAGGATGGCACCTGGGATCCGGCAGCCCAGGAGAGAGGGTTTAGCTATAGGGTTTAGCTATAGGGTTTGTCCCTGGGCGGAGCAGGGGATCTGGAATCGCAGGCAGGCTCATGCAGGAGCCAAAACGCTGTGTGTGCTCAGTCCGTGCAGGTTTGCTGCTTGCTGCTCTGCTCCCTTGGCCCAGCTGCAGATCAAAGTGGAAAATCAGGCTGTCTTCTCCTTCCTCCAAAATAGAAAGAGGGAAACTTCAGATCTGGCATGGCAGGACACATCAGGATGGGGTGAAGTAACAAAAGAAGGCAGTCTTGAGAGTCCCAGATGCACTTAGATATATTGGGAACAAATTAATGCCTGAGAGGACAAAAAAAATGTATTGCCAATGAAATGACACTTGTTCTGAGCCTGAGATGCCCCTTAAATACGCGGATTTTTATGCCGTGAGCCAAGAGAGTGGGACTCGCTGTCCTAGTTCCTGCGCTGATCTGGGCTAACACTGTTTACACAGGACTTTACTTGCGAAAGTGCAGCTGTGGGCTCCATCCTGGATGTGTCTGCGTCTCCTCTGTCCCCGCATCGCCGGGCAAAGTCGCTGGACAGAAGGTCCACGGAGTCCTCTATGACGGTGAGCCACCGGGGCCGTGTCCTCTGCCTTGGGGGAGGACGGGAGAGGCCCTTCCCAGGCAGGTCCGGTGAAAACTTTATTGTGCTGCTTTCCCTATAGCCAGCACGTAGGACATAGGATACGCCCAGATTTTGGAGCAGGTTTCGGTGACTTGGCTTCACACTTCACACTTGGTGTGTTAAGGAGAGCTAACGCGTGTCCTGGCTTTCTAATGATGCTTCCTTGATGTTTATGCAGTTGCAAGTGGGTGTCAGTGGGACGAAGGCTGCGAGGAAGGGCTGAACCTGCCCTCCTGAGCTCTCCTCTCTTTGCGTATTTCAAATGCTCACCAGACCTGGAGGCAAACAGTACAGAACAAACACAGAGTGCCTTCTCTCACTCACCACCCTTCTGCAGGAACAAAATAAATACACTTGCTAATCTCTCAAAAAGATTACACAGCCATTGTAAATATGAGCTGCATTTTTTGTGGATGGACAGCTTCTGTTCAAGGACTTCTCAGAAAAATGCAGTAGCTTAACATTTCTGTGGTAGCTTTTCATGTAGACTTGTACAGCCACAACAGTGATTTTTAAATTCTTGGTAGTAATAAAAAGGTGCAAGAAGTACACGTTAAGTGGCAATGCACATCGTCTAGTGAAGGCAAGAAAATCATGCGGTCAGTGGGAAGAAAACCTTTTCCTTGCATTAAATACGCCTTTATTGTGCCACTCCTGCTATAAAAGTAGCAACATAAGAAAAACTTGCACGCCTGCTGGCTTGCAACCACGATTGCAAGACTCCCCCCTGCCCGTCGGGTTCGCTGTGTCAGGTCAGATCAGTTATCCGTCAGGATAAAAGCCGAGGGAGAGTTCATCCCTTGTTAGGCTCGGTGGGTTACAGCAGAGCTGTGTGGGTATCTCTTCCATCAGGTGCTTCATCTGTTTTTGGTTTCTAATGTCTACACCCTTCGGTGGCAGCTGGTCCCAAACTTTTCATGCTTCAGCAGCTTTGCAGCTTCGGGCAAAGCCTGTGCTCTCCTGCCTGCCCGAGCACTCGGGGGAAAGCAAAGGGGTTTCTGCGGAAGAGCGGGACCTGCAGGAGAAACCTTCCTGCTCCGGGTGCTTCTGTAGTGTCTCGCTGCAGCCCAGCCTGAAACCTGCATATACTGCTTAGCCGCATCTTTCCTCTCTGGCTGCTTCTACACCTTTGCTTAAACTTTAAGGAAACTAAGAAGTGTAGTAAAATAGTATGAATGCTGCTAAGGAGGGGTTTAACTGCTTTTGCAGAAGATTCTTGCCCTGTGCTTCTTCCCAGTTGATAAATAACAAGCCCATGAGCTACTGTAACACTTGCACTGCTTCTGTTTTCCTTCTCTGCAAAGTGCATGGTTGGGAGCCGGTTATTTTTGATCCAAAATGTAGATCCTTTGCTTGACGCTCTCCTATTGTAAAAGAAAGAGCTTAAACAGGACCCAGACCCGGGGGCCATGATCCCACCTGCACTTTGACAGAGGAGGAGCAGGCAGGTGGTGGTGTCGCTCTCTCAGGGTAAGTTAGGGCTGAGATTAGAATGCCCAGCTCTCATAGCCTACTTCAGAGATGGATGTAGTCACTGCAAATGCAGTTTTCTCTATAGTTTGTTCGTGGCTTATCACTGCCTCGTCAGCAGGTCCTGGTGGGGCTCGGCAGCTTTATTGCCTGCAGCCACATCGCAGCCAGGGCTGCTCAGGCTGGCGTCTGTCCGCTCCCTCTTCCGACTCTCTAAGGCTTCGGGAATGGCAAGGTGGCATTTACTTTCCCATGTGTTTTTGTGGGGCTGGGTTCCCGCCACCGTAGGAGCACTCAAATGTGGGATGTGCCACCCCACAGCATGGGTTTGATTGAATAGGCTTCCAGACCCCAGTTTTCCGTTGCTCCCCTTGCTATAGCTCATTTCAGGTGCTACAGCTGCATTTCACACGCTGCTGTCCTTTCCTCCTCCACTCTGCAGCACGTGGAGCAGCTGGAGGAGCTCAGCCTCGAGGGAGAGAAAGCATTTCCACCGCATCCTTCCCTGCGCGCGGGCAGGGCTGGGAGGAGGGGCTGGCGGGAGTTATCCCACGCTGTCTTGGTTGCTTTTCTCAGAGCTTCGACATCCCGGTGCACCTGCTTTGGAGGAAAGAGCAGCTGTCGTTTGGGTGGTGCAATGCTCGGATTCCCTGTATTTCCAGCCTTGGGCACTCAGCCTTGTTTAGAACCCTGCAGCTTTGCATGAATAGCACATAGTTTTTCCTTCGTAGCATATAATATAGGGACAAAACTGCCTGCAGTCTTGCTAATTCCTTGCTTCTCCTTCCTCTGTAATGCTGGTGTAACAGTAGGAAATTGCAAGAGAAGTGCTAGGAAGGAGGCAGCCTGAATAAACCATACAGCGCGTCTCTGTTCCTCCTGGGAGCAAACGTTTAGCTCCACGCAGTATAATGATCCAATTTAACCGTCTCTTCTATTGCTGCGCTGTGCTTTTTCAAGCTGCTGCTGTTGTCTGCTGGGCGCGGATGCTTCCACCCTCCCCTCTGATCGCCTCTCTCCTTTCTTGCAGCCCGACCTGCTGAACTTCAAGAAGGGCTGGTTGACAAAGCAGTACGAGGACGGGCAGGTGAGTCCGGGGGAAGCTCTGCCCGTCACGTCAGTCTTCGGTGCCACGGTCGGTCCCGGTTTCTGGCAGCTGACGCTCACTCCGACGTCCCGGCTGTGCATAGGGCTGCTCTCGGCACTGACGAAGCCCCGATGTCCTTGCAGGGTAGATCAGTATTGGGCCGTGCTCCAGATGGGAGAAACCAGATGTAGGCGCTTGGGCAGAGCAGCGACAGGGAATTGGTACAACTCTGGAGCCAGGCAGCAGCGGTTCTGTGCGAGCCCTGTGCAAATGGTGTTTGTCTTGGAGGGGGAACAGCTGGTGCTCTGTCCTGGGGAGGTTTCAAAGCCCCACAGCTGAATATCGTGTCGTGGGTTTCTAGGGAGCCAGGGCAGCTTGGATAGCAGCACTGGTTTCGTGTTCCCGTTCTCTATTAGCCTCATCTCCCTTGCGACCCAGCAACCTCTTTGGCGGCAGTAATGAGGCTCAGATAAGGTCTCCTGAGCACCAGGGGGATGGCAAGGCCAAGAAAGAAAGAAATGCCTCTGAGCTGGCACTGAGGGAAGCAGCCACTGCCGCTTTCCTCCTGTCCATTCCCGGAGGGATGCGGGATGTGCTGCTCTATCGGAGCCTTAGAGACAGGCACTGATGCCGAGGCGGCATGGGTGCCCTGGCTGTTTGCAAACCGCCCCTTCCCTGGATTTCCTTCCCTCCCGCTCAGCCTGTCGAGGGAAAACGAGGGCGACTTGCCCGCGGCTGTGAGCGCCGTGGCCCGGGCTCCGCTGCAGGTACCCACTGGTGCGTTGGGCCCTGGGGCCGAGGGCACGTCTGTAGGCAGTC